ATTGTAAGCATTAGAAATTGCAGCGTTTTGCAGTAGCGTACTAGGGAATTTAGGGGCCAGTTGGGTAACACGTTTATTTTTTGATACCGACCGAAATTACCTTGTTTATTTTTGCTTGATTATAGCATTACCCCTTACAACCCTAATGATATTTCGAGCCACTCAACAAATTGGTGCTGCGTTACCAGAAGTGTTTCGGTCCCAGTCAAGTGCTACAAAATTGTCAACTTTCGCCTCTGATCTTGGTGATAAACTCAGCTGGAGAAAAGGTATTCAAATATTTTGAAAATGATTTAAAAACTACACATTTTTAAACTGACAAAATACCTTGAGATATTCTCGTTTTACTCGTTTTCAAAAATGCAGGGTGACTTACCTCACTGTGCACAGCGTCGGGATGCTGAAGAGTCAACAGATCCTTTGATTCTACACACGGGCGCAAAATAAATGCCGATTCTAACTGGCTTAATACGGCACTGGCAAAAATGTTACGATGCCAATTAATTTTTAATTTTCCGACGGCTAGCTCAGAGTAAGAAAAATGTTTTTATACCCCTTACTTGCATAAGTTTGACCTCTTATCTTCTCTCTTAAAAGAAAGAATCTGAAATTCAAAATCTAACACTCGGGTTTGATTGAATTCAATGAACGCACATGTGAACTTAGTTGATTGAATACATTAATAAAATCAAAGGTGATCAATTTCCATTTTTCTTCACGGTATCTGACATGGATTTGATTCATAAAAATAAATTCAAAAAAAGTGCGATAGCTATTTTGTGATCACGTCTCCATACTAAATTTCACTTTTATGGAAATATTTAATTTTCCACATAATGAATTATTGCATAGACTTCTGAATGCTAAATAAAATTTTAATCCAACCGAAGGAAGGGTATAACTGAAATTAAATGCAAAATTTTCAATCAATAGAACAGTATAACCCAAATTGTTTGTTTGGATTTGGCTCTTATGCTTTTCATGCAAGTTCTTCTCAGCGGTCGATTTCTTCAGGAATATCAAAATTACGCGAAACAAAATTCCTAAAAATAACCGGTTACTACTTTATATAAATTAAAAACTTAAAATAACGTGGATGAGATTTCTAAGGCTAGATTTGTTGATTCCAATGCTATGGCACGCGCATGGCGATAAAATGGCAAAAAAATTAACTCCGCCACCCATCATTTGAGAACATTAGCAAACAATCTATCTCAAATCAATATTGCAACCTGTTATTACCTATGGCATACTAGTAAGGGGGCACTCTAGTAGAGAGGGAGAATTTTTTAGACCGCAAAGAAGGGTGGTCCATATAATAATCCACAAATGCTTAATATACCTACATAAAAAGAAACCCACACTTATTTCAGACTAGTCAAGCAGTTCATGTTCATTACACAAGAAACTGGGGAAATACGCGTATAAATTTCAAGATTTACACATTTACACATGTTACAATTCACAACAAATGACGCGTGGAAAAGTGCAAATTTCAAGCACAATAAGTATACTATTTATCTATCGAAAGGACAAACGTTATATAGCAAATGTAGATTAGAAAAAGTTTTCTTTGATTTCATGATGGGCAGAAATGCTGGTCTAATGCAGCATCCGGATTTTCTTCCCAATTAATTGAATGTTTTGTCTTCACCTTTCATCTGGGGGTAGGTTTAAGCGGTTATGGAAACTTTCGAATTTAACGAATTTAACGAAACATTGAAATTTAAAATATAATCATTGTCTTGGTCATATTTAAATTACAATTCACAGTATGTTTGCCTGATGCAAAATGTCATTTTTCTTCCAAAGAGCTAAGTTGTGGTCAACATTTAGAAATGGAGAAATTACGAGCAAGTAAAACTAGCAATCCATAAATTATTTATAAACAAACCACAAACAATTTGCTTTTAAGTAATGCATTAATCAGCATAATTAGTAGGTAAAAACAAAGAATATGAAAGATGCAGTAGGTACGGTTTAATGTTAAAATTCATGACCTGTGCATAATGCAATCCATATATATTTCATTCGGATGTCTTTAACCTAATACAATAATACCATTCTTTTGTATTGTGTTATCAAATTAGGATATAGTAACATTCTGACCGATACAGATACGTTTCCGCATTTGTTTTCACGGCAAAAAAGCAAATACCCAATATAGGTACCTAGTTTGGTCACTTTCATTTTAAAGATACTTTTGAAACGAGCTATAACGGTCAAAATTGGGTGAATTACTTATAAATCAGTCCTTACTACCTTCTCCTTATCATGACTAGATCACTATAGTCAATGTCCTTTAAGGACTAGCGAGGTTTGCAGGGGCGGACTGGGTAACTGCGGGCCAGGTGGAATTGCATAGGTTACGGGCCATTAAAGTATTAGTGTAGTAATGAATGTGGCGGAGGGGGGGGGGGTTTAGCTCTGAGATGCACCAAAAAAAGTACTCCTTTCTCGAAAATAAATTACCATACAGTTTTTTTTTAAATTGCAGCTGATAATTAAAAGTAACAAAATATACAATCCACACGAGGTGCGTCGCCTATCATTGTATTTCAGCACTTTCATGCTACGACAAAAAATGATAAATTCATTGTAAAACACTTCAATTAAAACAGAATTTTTTAACAACCTAACATCAACCCCAATTAGAGAAACGTGTTAATAATTTATTAATAGTGCAAGAAACTAAATACAGCACATACTTATAAATTTCCAACGGGCCATTATGATCTACAGGCCAGGTGGCAATCGCCACCCGCCCCCCGGGCCAGTGCGCCCCTGGTTATTCACTGCCTTTTTTTGAGCCCCGAAAAAAAAATTGTCTCAGATCGCCCCGGAAGTTCAAAAGTTACAGCCCTTTGAATTTTTTTCCGAAATTCGTTTCTAGTCTATACCTTTTGATTGAGAAGTCTGATCGAAAAAGTACGAATTGATTTGGATTCTACGCACCCAAATTAATAAGAAAAAGTGTTTTCCCGAGAAATTTTGGTGTAGTCGATTTTTGGTAAAAAAGGAAGGTTATACACTGCCTTTTTTTGAGCCCCGAAAAAAAAATTGTCTCAGATCGACCCGGAAAAAAAATTTCTTATAGAATGTGGCCTGTAGAATCCATAATTTCAAACAGTTCCAAGATTGGGCTACTAGTTCAAAAGTTACAGCCCTTTGAATTTTCTTTCGAAATTGGTTTCTAGTCTATAACCTTTGATTGAGAAGTCTGATCGAAAAAAGTACGAATTGTTTTGGATTCTACGCGCCAAAATTAATAAGAAAAAGTGTTTTCCCGAGAAATTTTGGTGCAGTCGATTTTTGGTAAAAAAAAAGGAAGGTTATACACTGCCTTTTTTTGAGCCCGAAAAAAAAATTCTCAGATCGACCCGGAAAAAAAATTTTCTTATAGAATGTGGCCTGTAGAATCCATAATTTCAAACAGTTCCAAGATTGGGCTACTAGTTCAAAAGTTACAGCCCTTTGAATTTTTTTTCGAAATTGGTTTCTAGTCTATAACTTTTGATTGAGAAGTCTGATCGAAAAAGTACGAATTGATTTGGATTCTACGCACCCAAATTAATAAGAAAAAGTGTTTTCCCGAGAAATTTTGGTGTAGTCGATTTTTGGTAAAAAAGGAAGGTTATACACTGCCTTTTTTTGAGCCCCGAAAAAAAATTGTCTCAGATCGACCCGGAAAAAAATGTTCTTATAGAATGTGGCCTGTAGAATCCATAATTTCAAACAGTTCCAAGATTGGGCTACTAGTTCAAAAGTTACAGCCCTTTGAATTTTTTTTCGAAATTGGTTTCTAGTCTATAACTTTTGATTGAGAAGTCTGATCGAAAAAGTACGAATTGTTTTGGATTCTACGCACCAAAATTAATAAGAAAAAGTGTTTTCCCGAGAAATTTTGGTGTAGTTGATTTTTGGTAAAAAAGGAAGGTTATACACAGGGGCGGACTGGCTACTTACGGGCCATTAAAGTATTACAGTTTTTTTTTAAATTGCAGCTGATAATTAAAAGTAACAATCCACACGAGGTGCGTCGCCTATCATTGGATTTCAGCACTTTCAAAATACTACGACAAAAAATGATAAATTCATTGTAAAACACTTCAATTAAAACAAAATGTTTTAACAACCTAACATCAACCCCAATTAGAGAAACGTGTTAACAATTTATTAATAGTGCAAGAAACTAAATACAGCACATACTTATAAATTTCCAACGGGCCATTATGATCTACAGGCTAGGTGGCAATCGCCCCCCGCCCCCCCCCCGTACCAGTCCGCCCCTGTAGGTTTGCAAGATTTGTGTAATTCAATTTCAGATATGTAGGTAACTAAGTATAAATTTATATCCGTAGTTTGCTGAGGAGGGTATAGTATTATTTGATTTTGATCTTGGAATCTTTATGAAACTGTTACTACAAGTCCAAGATTGTATTATCTTTCTCCTGAGATTTTCTTTGGTATTTAGTAAACTGGTCCATGTGAGGTGGGTTTTTTAGTAATGAAAACGCTTAGTATTGATCATATAAATAAATTTATTCGATTTTTCTTATATAAAACAGCTTACATTTACATAAGTTATAATACTTCCATTTATCTAAGTAGTTGCTTAAAATTACTAAAACTGGTAATGGGGCAATTACAACGTAACAACGTAAGCCTGTACAAGTAGATGAATGTGAATTAACAAATTCAGTCTTATTAAAACTACTAATATCACACGAATGCCTCATATATTGCATTAAGAGATGATACTGCTAATTATCCGATCTGTGAATTATATTATGTTCATTGAAGTCAAATCCTATAACACGTTAAAGACAAGCGAAGATTTTGCACTTACTCTAAATACACATATAATGGTGTGGATGGACAGAGTCAAGGGTTTGTGTTTAGTAGGTGTCACTTAAAAGGTGTCATACAAAAAAGATGCCCACCTTGTACTAAGATTAACCTACCAGCCTTATTAATCATGCATGGTGCTACAATTATTATTAATGGGCAGTTTTAATGAATGGATTCAAAGCAACTTCTAATAAGGACTAAGGGAATAATACATAATCTTAATACTGATCAATTAGGTATACCTCTTAATCTAAAAAAACAATTTTAAGTTTAACCAGAGTAATTGCAGTCTGTTCAAAATGATATGGTTGCTGTTTAGCATTTGGCACATACGTCCAAATGCCAAATGTCTTGTTGGCACACGTGTTGGCCAAGTTGGAAAGGTGTGGTAGTAAGAGGTTTATCAAGTGCTCACATTTATGTAGTATTCCCACACGCTACTTTAGACCTTTTTATATTGTCTACGTTAACTACCTATACCTCACATTTTAAGACAATGAACACTGGTGGATTTGTATACTTGATAGAAATACACGAAGTAAAAAATAGATATTTTACAGTATTCCATTGGAGAAGCAGTTATCCAAAATTAATTAATATAATTCACAGATGGTTCAGGAATCCAGTTGATTGATCAACGGAAATTACCACGTATCGTCTGTTTGTCATGTGGATGTGTTATCGGAACTCGCGTCCTTTGTTCTGGTTTTGAACCAAACTATTATGTATTCAATACTCCATGCTAAGCAGCAGAGCATAATCAGAAATGTTTGGGAATGGAGACATATTGGATAACTTCGTGTTGCGTCTCTTATGTAACCTGAAAGAAAGAATGTGTTCACAATCAACGCCCTCAAAGCCATTTAAAATTGTCGAACGGCTTGGCTCGAAGGGAGCATTCCAAAACGAGATTCTTTACTTTGCGGAATGCCTGGAGAGTGGCGAACTGGCTGCAATGAACAATGCGTTTGCGCGAGAAGGTACAGTGATGTTTCAAAAAGTTTTTTCGTCGTTTCTATAGTTCCCTGTTTTACAAACGTTGTTCTTACACGTTCGACACTCTTAAATGCCATTGACACCGAGCTTTTTAACCCAGGAGTAGGTGAAATGGCAGAGAATGAACGTTCTAGCGTTAAGTTCTTACCTAAAACAGGTCCAAGTGCAACAACAAACAGCCCTTTTCCAACCATATGTAACCCAAACGCCGCTGGTAATTTGTCTAACGTAGAGTACTCGGATATGGTGATCGTAAAGTTAATGAGAGCTGCACCACGCACAAATCCACAAACAAACAACCACACTAAGATCATTGTATAGTCAGTTTGTTCAGCCAATACTGCGAACAATGGAAATATAAATTAAAATCCCTATTAATTTACTCAGAATGACTCGTTCTTTGTCTTTTTTTTGAAAACTAAATAAGAAAAATAAAGACATGATAAAGCAAAAAGTACTATAGAAAACTCCTGCACTTAAAATGAATGAAACACTAAAATTATAGGCCTCTGTTAAGTACGAAAATGTTGTTAAAGCTTACAGTTCTATATTTTTGTGTTTACCTATTTTTTAGGCTCCTTCGGCTGCCAACAAAAAGTCATAAAATTATTAGAATACATGTTCAAAAAACAACATGTCTTAATATACAAAACTAAAAAAAAGTCGAAAACAAAGGCAATTTAATCGACAAGTTTGTTTAATCATTTGTTGAATGTCCAAAATGTTTCTTGGGTTTTTGCACCTCGCTCGTGTTTTGGGTATTCAACAAATTTACAATTCTTCATAGTGCACAGTCCTATCAACAAATGAAGTGCGCTTCTTAGTCTATTAAAGAAACTCCATGTGTTTAAATAATAGTGTCTCTTTCATATTTTTGAAGTAGGTATCAGATGGGATCTGGTTCATCTTAGGAATTTAAAAGCTTAATTAATTTGGCTGTCTGGTACAAAATTAATTGCGATAATGATTCAGTGCGTCAGTCTTCTTTTGATTGGTTGTTCATCATAAGTGTTTTGATGTGGGAAAAATCCGTTTTAGGTTTGTATTGCATTCCGGTAAAGGCAAGTTGAACTCTTAGTTCCATCTTCATCGCAGTTCTCAAACCACCTTGCAGAAACATTAATCGATATACTTGTTTGTTGCAATGGTTGACTGCTGATAATCTTTTCAGTGTCTTTATCTTCAAATTACGGCCAGATACAGTTTGAATTCCACGTTAAACTCTTCCACTTCTCCCTGATGGACTCTAAACTGTCCAAAAGTCAACCTGTATTTCGTTGGCCGTGAATCACAAATCATTTTCACGTGCCTACGTTAGTGAATTTCATTCCCAACTTTACTGAGTTTTAGTATGAATTGTGCCATGTGTTCTCAATTAAAAAAACCTCAACGTTGGTCCTGCTAATAAATGGATTCGTTATTTTCAGGCGCGTTTTATCTTCATAGCCCCAGAACTCTCTAAACGAAGTAGTAGTGGCCATTTTCTAATATCAAAGTTCAAGACATGAACAATGCGAGTAGATATGGACCCGGTTACATGAAACAATTGTTGCATGATCCTGTTTAAACGGTATGAATCACCGGCGTATTTCCATTGAAAATTTTGGATTTAATTAATCTTAAATTCAAAAGTACCTAAAGCAAGTGCATAGAGAGTAACTGCAATCAGGGTAAAGTAGCAGGGACGGCAGGATTTTTTTTAGGTGGGGCTTAAGAAAAGTCAGACTACCAGATTAGTACACATGATCCAAAATAAATGTGAATTATATTTCGGCCTCGTCGAAGATAATATTAGCCTGTATAGTACACCTTCTTTAGCTCCGCTGAAGGTCGACCACATGTTTTAAGGTCCACAAAAAAACGGCGTGGGAATCCGGGAGTGGGATGGACGCGGGATATGCAAGTATGCATACTAATGCGGCGGTTCGCATGCGTTATACTTGCATATCCCTCCCGCTCCAGTGCCCGTTCCCGCATTCCCGCGTCGGTTTGAGTGGACCTTTAAAGCAAGACATGGGAAGTCGTTCTTAACTTGAACTTCCAAAGGCGACTCGAACGTCACTCATTTTCGATCGCCCGTTATAATGGACAAAATTGTCGAGGAAGAAGCTCTTCTGCTACCTCTTTTAGTGGAAGAGGAACAGCAAGAGCGGGAAATAGGTATGTACATGTATTTCTTTTTAATACTTATACAGTGGTTTGGGTTTAGGAAGCAACAGATATGGGTGCATCCTATTAATGTAGAGCGACCCGTAATGGGCGAATTTCAGCTACCCCCAAAGCTATAAGAGAACATGAGAACTCAATTAGCTGTTCTGTCTTGGCGTCTTTTTTCTGAGACATGGAGCAAACTGGCGCGCAAATTGTGCAATGTGCATTCAGCGATCGCTCACCACCGCTCTAGGTCTGCACTGATCTCCACCAAAAACAGATTTCGATCGAGTTCGAGAGGACGGCAGGTCCACGGCAATGTTAGGGTTATGTTGGCCGATTTCTTTGATTTACATCCTTCATTCTTGTGGTTCGTTAGGCTCACCCGGTTTGAATCACGAAAAGACATCGTGCGGAATATGACGGCACGCCCGAACACCATTCCAAAAACTGCGTTGCAGGTGTGTTTCCAAAAGTTGCGGAAATACTAGGAGAAGTGTGTGCGTCACCAAGGAGACTACTTTTAAGGAGGTTAAGACCGCATTTACACGAGAATACAATCGCCCTCAGAGACATCTGTAACAATGCCTCTTATGGAACCGTTCACACCCCATACTTCCCGCGTACAGTATCGGCGAGTAAGTTTCGGTCTCTCGCTAGTCGCAGTCGCCCGGCGATTTTACGATTTTTGGAGAGTGATGGGCTATGGGGTCATATGGGCTGGGCGCCGACCTTGCAGTAAATAGTTACCCCTCATCACAGCCTGTGGCACAGTTGGGGAGAGGGGACCAATTTTCGGAACAACACAAACATAAACATCCAATGATTGAGCTTCTTAGTGACGGCTCTGGCCACCTCGTTGATGATGTGTTTTATTTCCAGCCGGAATCTACTCTGTTGAGGAATTCCTTAAGATTACTATACCTACCTTAATTTAATTAATAATTAGATGTAGTTATCTTCAATGTATTGATGTTTGTTGTTTTTGACTAGTGCAAGTATTATTTTGTTTTGCAAAGCACGTAATATATATTATTATTATTATGGAATTAAGAATTTGGATATCCAATTTACAGATGCATAACTGAATCACCCTCCACAGACAAAGAGAAGCGTGAGGAACGGGTGACAGCAGCTCGTACCTTGAAATGTTTTAGTCAGGGGTTAAAACCACAGCAACGTTTTACACTCTCTGCGTCTATAAAACCAGCAGGAAAGTTGTGGCTCTTGGAAAGAGACCCGCTCAGAATAATCCACGCTTGTTACCAGGGTGGGTAGATCTTCCAGGGCGAAACTCAATGGCCCGTACAGTCCAGCTATTAACAGCGGGCAAGAAATCCTGGGAACAATCTACAGAGGCCAAGTAATTACTTATTCAATGGTAACGGTAGAACCGCAGGAAGGTTGAGTTTCTTTTTGAAACAATGGTACAAGTTTACCCTTGATAAATCCATTTTATCTTGTATTTGATCGGGTTTGAGGTCTTGTTCAGAAATCAACACAAATGCAGGCGCCTAAGGAGCCAACCTGGTCGGCAAATGACAGGAGAGATCAACCCCGATACAAGAACTGCTTAAGTTTAAAGCCATATGTAAAGGACCCGCGGCTGGGACCAATTTGGGACCAATATTTTCCTTGTTTCAAAGCCGGATTGTTCCAGGTGAGCCATTTTAAACCTAAAACTTTTGAACCGCTTTGTAAAAACGAGTCGTATTTAAATTTGAGGATCAACAACGGTAATGAAACTGTTACGAAAACTTGGTTTAATGGTCTCTGTATGAGTCAGGCGATGCGCTTCGGCTTGAATTGTGCTCCCCTTGTTCTTATCAAGATCTTGAAACCAACCATTGCCTCCTTACGTCAAAGGGTTTTTTTCATTGTTATATTTAGATGATTTTTTACTCTTGGGTTCATGAAAAAGAGCAGTCTCATACCAAGTCAAAGAATGCAATACTTTTTCTCCACAACTCGAGAACGACGAGAGTTTCCCTCTCAGATGATAAGAAATTGAAATTGGTATCCTTGGTTAAACGTTTGTCTATCTGAAAGTCGTATAGAATTAGAGTTTGCTGAACTGATTGGCAAACTAATTTCTGATTGTCCCGCAGTTAAATATGGTTCTATGTCAATTTTACCAAGTTTGTCAAAGGATTTTGAGTGGTGGTAAAGTAAGATCTCTTATACAGACAACTTAATCAGATTTGATAGTTATAAAATGGAGATTACTCGGATGCTTCTAAAAAAAGGACTGCAATGGAATAAGAAGCCAATTATGGGTTGTAGTCTGACGCAAATAAAGACCTCTACATATGTTAAGTACTTAGAATTGCTCTTAAACTTAAATGTTTCGCCAATAACCTTTCTCATGGTACCACTGCGGTACCTTACATCAACCGTATGAGAAGTATTCAATACTGGACATTAAATAAGTTAACCAGAAAGATTTGGGCATGGTGCAAACGAAGGAATTTAACAATCTTCGCCTCGTACACAAGGTTTGAAGATAATATGGAGGCAGATTCTGAACCAAGAAAGTTGCTAATTGATACAGAAGAGGAATTACCAATGCAAAATTTTTAAACAATAACGGGTAAATTTGGGACCCCCAGGGATTATCTTTATGCAACAAAAAAATGCCCTATATTGGTTTCAAGGCTCAGGAATCTGCTGGGCTGTAGATGCCTACACTATCAGTGGCCATTTTATGCTTCCCATCCGTTTTGTGTAATATTAAGAGCTTTTATCTGTTACCCAGCGCCTACTGCCGCCTCCAGACCCTGATAAATAGTGTGGTCTCTCCGGACACTGTGATAATTTGCCTAGAAAGTAGTCCATGGCCCCTCAAAAAAAATTGTCTCAGATCGACCCGGAAAAAAATTTTCTTATAGAATGTGGCCTGTAGAATATATAATTTCAAACAGTTCCAAGGTTGGGCTACTAGTTCAAAAGTTACAGCCCTTTGAATTTTCTTTCGAAATTGGTTTCTTTTCTAGTCTATAACTTTTTATTGAGAAGTCTATAACTTTGGATTGAGAAGTCTGATCGAAAAAGTACGAATTGCCATGGCGAAAGGAAAAGCTTGATGTCTTCGGAACCGGAAGCTCAACCAGTGTTGGAATTTTTAATCGCCTTGTTTCTGAATTTGTAATTCAAATTTTAGTTCCGGGGTTAAGACAAGATGCTTGCATAACGGCACAAAGCGATTCTTTAGAGGTGTCTACAGCTTAAGGCTCAATGTTAATCGAGATGTGACTTTCGCCCAAGTATAACATTATTGTAGATACAAAGGGGAAAGTTATAAAGGTGTGAAAGTGCTTGGAGTAAAGGAAATAAAAGAAAAAACCAAATGGAATCTGCCTGAAGGTTAGTAAAGTACGCAAAAAAATTTTGTGAATATCAACATTGTAACATCGGATGCTACCTTTAAACCTATTGGAGGTTACTGAGAAACGTATTAGCTACTGAATAAAACAAAATTCAGCTGCTACTATCTGCTACTTGAATTTTAATGTATATTTTTTCTAATGAACTAGAAAATTTGATCTATTAAATAACTATATCATACAGAGAGTCCCTAAATATGATGTAAATACAGAAGGGGTTAATTGTTTGGCTTATTTTATGACGAAAAGTTCATATAAACAGACCCGCAAACGCTTCGTTACGTATCTACAGGGTGTTAAATAGTTCTACCCTACAATTTAGACCTTCAATTTATAAAAATATCTAAATACAAGATACTATTTTCTGTGACAACTGTCAAAACTAATACAAGTGAGATATTATCCAAATAAAGTCAGGGCCTGGGTATTTTAAAAATTATACTTTCATTTTACCAACTACCGAAAATTAATTTTTATTTTTTTTCTCGATAATGGTCGCAATAAAGAAACAATTACAAAAGACCAAAAAGTTTCTAAATAAACCATCATGTGGAATTCTTGTTTCATGATCTACGAGTTGCGCACCAAAAAAAGTTAATGGGTAGAAAATGGAACATGACTTCTGAAAAACAACACCCTGTAGATTCTCACTATGATTGACATGGCCAATGATGTAATTCCTTCAGCGTACCCTATATTTAAAATTTGAGCTAAGTATCTTAAAAACTGCAAGTGATATAAAGAAAAAACAACGAAATCTTGAAATTTTAACACCCTGTAGACCGGTAACGAAGCGTTTGCGGACCTATGTTTATATGAACTTTAAGCCATCAAATAAGCCAAATAATTAGACCTTTCCTTATTTATATCATATTTAGCAACACTCTGTATAATTAGTGAACTTTATATTTGATAAACAGTTAATATGTTTATTTGTACAGTTAGCGACTCTTGTTTCGTATATCACCTAAAATTTTTACCACATGGTACCACATTTCCCTATACACAGCCTCAAAGGTTTTCAAGTTATTCAGTTTCACGCGTTTATTTCGAGGCCTCCTAGGAAAATTATGCAATAACGATCACAATTATAGAAAATCTTAAATAAAATGAAAACATGGAAACAGGGAATGTAATAATTGATCGATGAAGAATTTTTTTCGACATTTGAAAGTGCAACAAAATAAAGCAGGTTTGATTAGAAAAAATCAACTTTTTAAGGTTTGAAGCTATTAAACTTGACCATTAATTTTAAAACACCCTGTAAAAGGGCGATTAAAATTTAAATAATTCCCATGTATCATCACGTTGATTTTGGCAGACTTTTTGATATTCAAGCCAACGGAGCCACAGGTACACCCAAGAGAAGCAGTCAATCGTCAAAAATTTTGAAAAATCTTGAATAACTTGAAAACCTTTTGATGCTGAGTATAGGGTAATGTGCTATCAAACGACGTAGATTTTAATATGGATTTCGAAAATGCAAATAATGAAAATAGAAGTCTCAATACTTTTAGGTAACGGTTTGCGTGAAACAGCTTTATATGTATTGTTTATCCATTTAGAAATTAGTTGGGTTCTGTGTTCATTTTTTCACTCTCTCAGTTACCTACCCTTAGACATATTGCATGGATTCGTTCGTGCAACATACAGGGTATTTATTGAGACGAGGCCGCAATATAATCTTAAGATTACCCCTTGTCTGGGTGATGTTTGATCTGGATCTTAGACTAAATGGTAATGACGGTATCGAATATCTTATACAAGATGTGCTAACGTAAACAAATATTAAGAACAAATTTGGCTCCAAAAATATGAGATATACCGGGTCCATATGTATTGATGGCTCAAGAACTCTTGAGAAAACGCTACTATCATTAATTATTGTAGAGTAAAGAGATACAAGATTATCAAGATCTTTTTGTTTGTGAATACACATTAGATCTAATAGGGATAGATCCCTAAATAAAAATGACAATGAACTTGACATTCACAAAAACTATTTCCGTCTTAAAGGCATACTGTATCGAATCTAACCATCAGGGAATGCATTATTATTTTGTACTGACATCCAAAAAGTTTTTTTGCACTCCTTCGTTCTATATCGCGTTTTCCCAATCAAACACGAACGTCGGGAACGTCAATTTTACAATTGACTATCTACTTTCGCGCACTAGTGCCTAAAAATTCAACGAAATTATCTATTTAGTGCGGATCATAAACTAATAAGTAGTATGATGGAAAAGTAAAAAAGAAAATATAAATACACTTTACATCATTCCCTGTAGTACACGGGCAAAAATAAGCTTAAACCAGAAGTTTTTAACAATAAATTGACATTTTAAATTTCTACTTTATCGGCATAGAGGACTTGATTTATTCAATAGAATTATAATGTCGCAAAAATCTCGCGAAAAGGATTTGAATTTATATAAATTCGATTTAACTAATCTGTGCAAAAAATAGAATACATGATACGTGCGTGAACAGTATTTGCTTGATTCGCGCGACGTGCGTCCCATTATTGAAAAACGTCGGTAGCGCTCGTGAAAGAATTTGGGCAATAATCCGAAAGTGAATTCCACTTGTTTCTCCCTGTCACGTCTAGGAATTTGAAAATTGCATTCCTTGATGCCTTGATTCGCAAAAACTTATAAATATAACAACGACAGATTTTATCATTGCGAGAGATTTAAAAAACCTCGCACAACGTTACGATGAAACTTAACGAAATTATGTACACTAATATTTAATGAAAGCAAAAATCACACTTTGAACGATAAAGCGTGAAGTAATTAGAAAGCGTGTAATTTACCTGATCGAGAAATCCCAACGAGAAATATTCCAACCATAAACAGCGTGCGTTTTCGGACATTAACTCTGTCGCAAATTGGAGGAAGGATGAGTCGGGCCAATATGTCGGTGATGGCCTGAACGGACAGGAACAAAGCGGTGTTCGTCTTGTTGTATCCTATACTGTCGAAGAAGAACGGCGTGACCATCTTAAAGTTTTGCTCCGCGACATAAAAGATCGACAAACCAAAAACGAGGTTTAAATAAATTGGATCTTTTAGCAGGTCTAAATCCATGAAGTTAACAATTTTCGACCAAAGCGTCTCCTTTTTCCTAGGTTCGAAACGTAAGGGTTCGTGCTGGTAATCCTGCATTAGTTTGAGATGGGAGTTCAGCTCGACCGCAGGATAGCTCAGGTTCCTGCGTAAACGAACCCCTTCCGTAATGTGCAATTTCGGGCCTGGTTTTTCGGTACTCTGAAAACGAGGATTAGGGTCGAAAACGTACAACCGAACGCTTACTTGTAGATGGAGCTGAAGACTTGAGCCTGTAAAATCCATACTGGACAGACTAGAGTAGTTTAATATATCGGAATATGGCTTGCTACGCGTTAGGAAACTCATGGTGGAAAAGTTCCTCGGGAAGCTGGCCTCTTTCGGTCGGTAATCGCCGAGGCATTTGGAAAAATCGGGTATTGTGTTTACGCCAATCAGTTTTTGGGTTTGTGCGCTTTCTGGCGATTCCGCCTCTTCGTCGTCTACTTCCTTTATTGTTTCCATTTCCTGCGAACAACGATTGGATTTGAGACATTCGAAACAGACTATTGGAAGTGCAAATGCGGGAAGGTCCAAATCTACCTACAATAATGTAAAAATGTGCAGAGATGGAAAGAGGTGCAACGTACGTATAGCATGCTACAACATGGAAAAATATTGTGTACCTACCCATTACTGAGTAATTACCTCATTCGAAGAAAAGTAAAAGGTGATTCTCTGCAGCGAAACAAAGAAAGAGAAAGAGTTTTACATAGTGGTTTGTGCCCCTGTAGTTTTATAAACGGTACAACACGAAGAGCTAGTTACCTTTTGGCGGTTTCCTTCTTCCAAATTTTTGCTTTCTGGTACAAAGTGCCATTCGGCAGGTTGTAATAGAGCAGATCCTATAAGTGCATGTAAGGCAACTCCCCCCAATACTAGAATTGCCCCTCTAAAACTATATGCCTCTAAAAGTAATCGCACAGCCTGTGGCATAAGTAACATTCCAAAAGCAGTTCCCGCCAACGAGAAGCCAAGAGCTTGTCCTCTGCGTTTTACAAAATAGTGATTTAAAGCTACAAAGGTGGCGGATGCGGTCAGGCCAACGCCGACACCTACAATAACATCGGTTGTAGGTAATACGCAAATTGGGATAATTAATCTTACCGTTTATAATACTGTACGTAACGAGGATATGTGCCATGCTTCGCGCCGGAAACGTAAGTACCAAACCCAAACCACACAGACAAGCTCCAACTAGTGATACTTTACGATACGAAAAGGCACGGATAAGCGGTCCTACAAGTAACCCTGAGAAATTAATAAGGGCATCCAGTGTACTCATAATTAGTGCTGCTCCAGTAGTGCCGACTCCAAGTTCCTTTAATAGATCTCCAAACAATAAACCGAAAGATGGTTCTATTGATCGCGTGCAGAACTAATCGAATAGATTAGGTTATAATTAATTCAAAATTGAAGGTTGACTTACATTAACTATTGCGACTCCTATGACAGCGATCCATCCCCAACCTCCGTCTGGAGGGACCATCTTCTTTGGTTGGATAAGCATGCTTTATGACTATTTTCTGTAAGAAAGAAACTCACGTCTAAATATAGTCTAAAATCAAATAAAACTAGTCACACGCAAACCTATTCACTCGCACGCAAACCCACCCTTTAGATAAGCCCACACTTTCCCCTTTTCCACAATACTGAATCGCGAGATCATCAATCGGTATAAAAGTCTGTGTTTCTGTACATAGCTAATTAACATTGTGGTAGTAATAATTAATTATGGTTCGTTAAGTTCGTCCATAGACGTTTTTTATGTACTTGTTTGTCCTGTCACGCAGTGTGGTAATAAAACAATTATTAGCACTTAAATCAGTTTACTTTCCTCAAATGCGGTGGAACTGCAACTAAAAAACTTTCCAACGGAAAGAAACCCCAAATTTTATCGTGCCACGGGCCATGTCATTTAAAAATGTTGTTGAGACACAAATAAACTATTTACTTTATAAACAAATATTATTATAATTGATAATGTCGCCGAAACTGATTAACGCCACAATTTGCATAGCGTTCCTAAATGATTATCATTTTGTGAACACACTTGACGTAATGAGACTGGAATGTTTACAGTTCCTGACAAGTTGTGAAACGGTACGGGCAATAAGATAATGGCGTTTCGCCAAAACTGCCGGAAAATTTCCTTACCTGCCTTTACTTACTTTACTATGTGGCAATTTAATGTGTTATTTACCGTTTTATATCATATTCAGTAAGCACGACCTGCTATCGTGGTTAATTACGTAAACCTAAATTAAGTTGAAAACGCGAAATAAACACTAACTTTATTATAAACAATTACCATATATAATAAGTACGTCACATTTATGTTTCATTTTAGTATCAATTTAAACCATTCATTGATGTTTTCAATGACAATTCTCTTAAATTATTAATAGCTTTTGTTTTGACGCATTAGTCATCGCAATAATTATCTATTACTTTTCTTTTTAAGTAATCTGCGGGGTTCCTTACTAATCAACCAGAAATCTGCACGGTTTCACGCAACCCTTATGTTGGAATGTCCCCCGAAAATGAATGAACTTGACCTTTTGGGCATAGAACTAATCCTTTTGGTGAACTTTATAGGTTGTAAAACGATATATAAGTTTCTGGAAAATTCTCGAAGGCCTTTGTGGAGAAAACCTTAGAATCTGAAAACCTTTGGAAACAAACAAAATCTTAGACACTTTGTGGTACAAGACTTTTGATCATGGGAAAACCATTTCTGGTGAGGCAGAACATTTCTATGAACACGTTTTCAATATTTTTGTACGAATAAAACTCCTAAGTAAAAAGATAAAACGCTTCTGAAAAGATTTCTAGCACTTTTAAGAAGTAAGGAATATTTTTAAGCAGATTCCTGAAATGGGTTATTAATAGTTTTACGATTCAGAACTTTTGGGAAGGTTTGGAATAAGTTGCGCGAGAAAAAAAAAAGATCCAAAAAAGTTTCCAAGGATTCACACCTAGATTCTCACAAAGCTTTTTATTAAAATTTTCCAGGTAGACATTGAGGAAAATCTCTAAGATTATCTCTAGAAGATTACGCTTTCCACGGAGATTTATAAGATGGTCCTTCCCAGGCAGAAAAAAAGGTAAATATTCTTGGAAGGTTTTGAAAATTTATGACGGTTTCGACAAACTTTTCCAAGAGGGTTTCTAAGAAGACGCTCTAGAACGTTAGCGCAAACGTAATAAAATTCTACTGTTTTTAGTAGGATTTCATGAAGATTTCCAAGTAGATTTTTGTCGAGAATGTTTTCAAAAACATAGCCGAATATCTAAAGAGTCTTCTAGGTTTTATGAGATCTTAAACGATTGTTGAGAGAAGATTCCTAATAAAATTTTATAGGACGATCTTTGAAATTATTTTTACAAAATACTTATATTACGTCATAAGGAACGTTAGCAATCAGATTACTAGATAATAATTTTTTTCATTACGCACGGGTGTAGGTAATGGGTACTATATCATGCCTCTAAATTATACGTTATGACCTCATTTTCAGGGGGGTCGTAGGAAAAATAACATTTTAACTCGAATCATTTACAGGTAGTGTTGCCGCGAGACGAGACGAGACGAGACTTTCGAAAGTCTCGTCTCGTCTCGTTACCTCGAGACGAGACCAAGTCTGAGTCTCGTCTCGTCCTGGTTCAGTCTCGTCTCGTCTCGTCTCGTCTCGTCTAGTCTCGTTTGGGCTCGCCTGGTCTCGAGACACTATCCAAATATAGTGTATGTAGGTAGAGCAATGAGCATATAGCATATAAAAGACCACGAACTACGAAGGCATGACAAGTAAATAATAGGAGTAATATAGTAGGTACGAGAGCCGGGCGCATGGAACCAGTAGTGATAAGCTAACAAGATGAAATTGTTACTGGATTCCTTGCAACTTGAATAACACAAAATGAGTTTTCTGCCAGCCTTTTTCTGGCCGGAATGTTATTAAAAATAGGCACTTCCGGTGAATTTTTTTCCGCAAATTAAACCAAAAACCAAACCACCTGAAATTGATAACCGTAGGTTGAGGGCGATGGGTTTTAAGGAAAAATTCTTTTCTACCGAGTTTTGTCCAGCCGGAAATAGCGGCAGAAGCGGATTAATTGAACTGTTTTTTTGTGAATTGCTATACTCATAACACAACAACTGGAGGCCTCAAGATGGCCTCCGTGTCCGTGGGCACAATTAAACAAGATATGTACGAAGAATCGCATACGATTTTCAGGGAATTTTTTGACAGCTCGTAATCGGAAACACGACTTCTAATCCGCAGTGATCCTTGAACTCTTAGAAATCGATTCGCAAAAGTTTATCTTTTTTTGTTCTCGATTTAGACTATTCCGCTAAAACAGTACAAATAAATACAAACAAATTCGAGACCAAACGAGAGTCTGACGAGACTCATGCTTAGTCTCGTCTCGTCGAGACGAGACGAGACGAGACTGAACCTCGGTCTCGTCTCGAAAATTCGAGACGAGACGAGACGAGACGAGACTGAGTCTCGTCTCGGCGGCATCACTATTTACAGGTACAAGGGAGGTTCTTGAGGCTGTTATTAAGTATAATTTTATAAACATTTGTATATCGGCAGTATCCATGTTATGTTTTAATTCAAAAGGAGAATTGGAAGAAATTAAAAACTAAACCTTCCCCATACGTTTGAATTTAATGCGACTAGTTTCGGCACCAACGTCATCTTCTGGCTATAAGTTTTCAATTACACAAGTATAAACCAGTTCAATTTTCCGCCTTGTTTTGAAGATTTGTACTCCATTGCTTTAAATATCTGTGTAATTGAAAACTGATTACCTATAGCGAGAAGATGACGTTTGTGTCGAAACTAGTCGCTTATTAACACATTAAAATCTGACGTATGGGGAAGGTTTAGTGTTTAATTTCTTCCAATTCTCAAAGATTTGTATGACTAAGTTCAGAGAAGTTTTGCAAACAGATCTCCCAAGACTATTTTCTTCAGTAGCTTTCCATAAGATAAGTTTACCACTTCTCAGAAGGTTTCGATGAATCCCAATGAGTTTTCAAGGTTTCCAATATGGTTTTCTGGAATCGCTCGCAATGCATCATGAATGTTTTCAAAACGCTTCTAAGCTAAAAAAAAGTAATTATTCTTAAAAAGATTTTCAAAACGGATTCTTCCAAAATTTATAAGAAAATGTCACGGACCGATTTTAAGAAAGTTCCATCAGATTTCAAAGAAGATTCCCGAGGATTTTTTTCCAAGAACCTTTCTACAGTGGCGTGACTACCACGAGAGTTGAAGGATGTTGATTTTTAGGCTGAGGGGATCAATATTTCGCATTTTCGGATTCCTCTAATTTCTTCCCTTCAAAGTTGAATGACGAAAAGAAGAACCACCGATTGTAAAATACAAATATAAATGTTTGTACAAAATGTGGTTAATAAGTTTGTAGATTTTAGAAATTGGAATTGGAATGGCGCAAAAATTTAATGAGCATATGTTGCCAAGATGACTCTTTCTAAAAACGATCCTAGAAACATTCCGATTTTTCTGTTTTCGAAGATGTTTCCAAAGGAAGTTTGAAAAACGAATCCTAGGAATATTTATAAAAAAAATTTCACGACTACGGTGCTTCAGGAACAATTTTAGTGCTAGTAGGTATCTCGACATTTAGTATAATATTGTATTAAAGTATAAAGGTGAAAAATACCATTTTCCCCTTTTTTTAAATTCTAAAGTACCTAGACCTCTATAGCAAAAAAATTGAAGTGCTTTTCCAATTTCAGAAAAGCCTCACGAACAGAATTTTATACACTCTAAGCCATAAGCCACAGTGCACCCTTCGTAATTGTGTGCCACAGCGTAATTATTACAATAGCTCCACTTCCGAAGTGGTTCCATGTGCATGTTGATATCATAAATAGAGCCATTGGAAAAGACGAAATCACCTTAAAATCGAGACTTCGATTTATCTGAAAGTAAGAGGCAATAGCTTTTGCGAATATAAACATTATATTTGTAGTTAATATCAAAAAACAAAGTAAGTAAATATTTACTCTCGGATTCTAATGTATGAAAACTTCATATGGGCATATTACGCAGTGTATATTTCCACATTAACAATCCGATCAATAATTAGGCACGTAGCTAGGAGAATTTTAAGAATGGGCATTTAGACTGGGCCAAAAAGGGCTTTGTAGCATGATGTTTTGTATAAAAAAGACCTGCTGTTGTTATATTTGTACCTTTTTTGTTTATAATTTGAAACAGAAAAAATATTACCACAGGCAGACTTTAACAGTTACTCAATAATTGCATGCGCGATTCTGCCCAAAAACTTTTCATCCCTTTGTTTTATGTTTAAGAATAAGTGTACCAAATATGGTTCCACCCGGTTCATCCCTTTGATCGGAAATTAGAGTACAGACAGACAGACCCACATCATCGAGATTTTGTTTGATTCGGATTCCTGGTGCTTCAAAACGTGTTTCCGTCAAAAAGGGGGGGGGGCATTTTTTACCCCAATGCAATACCTCCCTTATTAACGTGCGTTGCCGTTTATTCAACTAGAAAGTGGACAAGAGCGCAATACACATTATTGTGCATCAGGAAAGGACGTTTCCCCGACGAAATTAATGGATTATTATTTTGCTCAACTTTGGAACCCTGTGCGCCTTACACATTTTTGATAATAGCGGTTAATGTATACTTTAATAAAAAAAAGGGATTTTCGGACATGCGGTTGGTCACTAGACCAGTGGTTCCCAAAGTTCACTGGGCCCCGACCCATCTAACAAAAATTTCCAATCTTGGGGCCCACCTCTTAGTTTTTTTCCGTAACTTAACAGGTATTTTAATTTTTAGCAATCATTAATATCTGAATGAAATTTTAAATTTATCACATATTTTTGTGAATTTTTGCAAATTTATTTGTGAAAAGGTACCTTTTCATCTCACTTTGGCCGGGCGCATAAAAGAACGCTTGTAGAAAGACGAGGAATGTACCTACTGAGGCCGTCTAATTAACAACCTTAGGGGCTACATGATCTGGGCGCCATCCCCGAGCATGGTGATTTTTAACTTTTTTTCTTCTTTTACAGTTTTGGTCC